AGCAAAACCTTAAACCCTAAACTTCCCTAAACCCCTAAACCCTAAACCCCTAAGCCCTAAACCCTCAAAACCCTAAGCCCTAAACCCCTAAAGCCCTAAACCCTAAACCCCTAAGCCCCAAACCCTCAAAACCCTAAGCCCTAAACCCTGAACCAGAGCCTCGAGCCCCGCAGGCCCCAACGTCCCTGAAAGAAACAAAAACCCCGGCTCCAAAGGCCCTCCTGGGTTTAGGGTTTAGGGGTTTAGGGGTTTAGGGTTTAGGGGTTTAGGGTTTAGGGCTTAGGGGGCTTAGGGGTTTAGGGTTTAGGAGTTTAGGGTTAAGGGTTTAGGGTTTAGGGTTTGGTTAGTAGGGAATTGGGAGTTTCCGAAAATAGGGGACCCTAATACAGTACCCTAAATAGTAGGATCCTTATTATATGGACCCCAAAATCAGGTACCCCCTAATTTTCGGAAACTCCCAATTGTAACTACCATTACTACCATTCTTCGAAGCCAGGGCGCTTCATCTCCCCATCCACCGGCCTAAGCTGGGTTGTGCTGAGGGGCCTTTCGGGTTTAGGGCTTAGGGTTTAGGGTTTAGGATTTAGGGTCTTTTTGTGGAATGCTTTTTTGGTGTCTAGGGTTTAGGGAGTAGGGTTTAGGGTCCGTGCGTGCTTGGGGTTTAGGGTTTTGCGGCTTCTTTGCTTTTCCCACCCGGGGCCCTGTTGTAGTGAACTGGGCTTTAGGACTCAGCAACAACGGCTTGGGGTTGAGGGTTCAGAACAACCCGCAGTTCCAGTTCAAAGCCGCAGAAGGGCTTCCAGATGGTCTCTTTTTATTCGTACGAGGGCCTTCAAGCCGGCTTCTTCATAGCTGCTTTGAAGCTTTTGCAATCTGGACCCGGCCGTGTGCCGGCATCGGTGTTTAGGGCAAAAGGCAGAGGGACTTATGGTGGGATTTGCCATGGCTTTGGCATTACTGGCTCACTTCCGCCTGCTCTCACAATTGCGGGCGGTGCTTCGGTGTCGGGTTTAGTCTTGTAGGGCTGGAAGTTTCGACTCCAGACTGCTTTTTTGGCTTGTCGGCATGTAAGCAGCAACTTCAACCCCCCTGCCCCAAACTCAATAAAATCTGGACTCCTGCGACCCTACCGCTCCAAACATACCACGGCAGACTTGTCACCAACGCTAGACCCTCTCAATCCTGCCACCGCCAAATACAACCCCGACAATCAAAAAAGTCAACAAACATACCCCGGCCTTAGCAACTGCATCCTTCAGCCCGGCGCTAGAGAATGCCCAACTTTGCACCGGAAACCCCACAAGAGCCCTAAAGCTACGAGGCTTGTTGGGCGCCAGCAAACCCTGAACAGCGCCAAGGGACGCCTGCACCTCGCTCTGGAGGTCCCACCCCTGGTTGTCCGGGATCGTGCCCGGGAAAGTGAGGAGGCACCTGGGACTTCGAGCATCCCACAGGGATAAAAAGCACGGTCCTCAGGCATGTCATTGACTGATCTGAAGGTGAAGGTCATGCTCGACTCATGGGCACTCCTTTCCGCTTGTCTTCCGTGCGACACGGTGGTGGGTTTCTGCTGAGTGAAAATGGATCGCATCGGGGCGACTGGCATCAAAACCTCCGGCCTTTGAGCAACTGCCGGACGACGACAGGCACAGATCTTCGTTCCAACACCTGTTAGAACCCCGGCGCCTCAGCAGGCAGTACAGCAGAAGCAGCGTGACAACGTGGAAACACCCCAGTTGGATCGAAGCGCGTTGCTGCCTTTGCTCTCTTCAAACGAGGGTTCTGGAGTAGAGGGCTTCCGGGAGCGTGATTTACTGACCAAGATTCAGGCAGGTCGGGTTTCAGCAAAGATGCATGGCTTTCAATATCGTGGATTGGAAGAGCTGCTTTTTTTGTTGGTGATTTGGTAGGCTTCGGTCCCGGTGCCTATGCTTGGAACCCAGACAGGCAGAAGCTCGGAAAAAAAAAAAAAAACTGCTTCCCAACTTCAAATCTCTCAGAGCTCGTCCCAGCCACTGCAGTTGAACGTCCTGCAAAACGAGACACCGGTCCGGAAGACTGCCAGTGCTTTGAACCTGCAGGCCTGAAACCTAAACGTTAACCCAGGACCTACAGCCCGAAGCCTGACCCAACTCACCCAAGTGGCGCCGCACTGTCCCGGAGAACATCCGGCAGGTCCAGCTGTAGCAACCGCAGGCAATGAAGAAAAAAGTACCTTGCAGACTTCAGCTCCCAGGTCCCTTTCTACCCCAAACCCCTAAACATCCCTAAACCCTGAAACCTAAAACCCTGGGGGTTTTGGGGTCGGGCACCGCCCCACTAAAACGAAAGGAAACCCGGACACTTTCTGCTCGCAGCGCATGTCGAACCGAGCCTGCGCCACCCCCTCGTGACCACTGCCCCACCCTTGGCAGTCCGGGGCACTGGATGTAGAGAAAGACAATGGTCACTATCACCTCAGATCTTCAGAACGTAGAGCTCCACGTTAAGGCTTGGAATCTCGATCTGTAGAGCACTTGTATGGTGAGGCTTTCAAGCTTCTTCGGGCTTAGGTCTTAGGGTTAAAAGGTTTCGGGTTTGGGGTCTAGTGATAGCGGCTGTAGAGCTTCGCGTGTTGGGATTTCAAGTTTTCGGGGTTTCAGTGGCTCAGGTTCAGGGTAGATGGCTTCAGGTGGACCCTTTTCGGCCCGGAGCTCAGAATGTCTCGAGCTCAGAACGAAGACGAATCCTAGGGTTTTGAAGCCTTCCGCCCAAAGCCCGAAAACCGCCAAGGAGCCTACATCCAACCCTACCAAGGAGCCAAGAAAACGGGCAGCAGCTTGTTTAGCTCGCCGAACCGGGGGGGCTCCTCGCCCTCCCCATACCTCGGGGCAAGGCATCAGGTACAGAGGCCTCAGTAATTGGAACAGGGCTTTAGTGGTAGATTGGACTGTAATAAGTCTACGAGGGACTATGAGGGAATAGAACTTGGTTATGCCGACCCTTGCAGTAGAGTTTCGGACTCTAGGGTTTACGACCTCGGGTTTTGGATTCTGGGTTATTGGGGGTTACGTGGACTGCGGGGTTTAGGACGCGAACTAGGCTTGGGCTTCCGGCAAGTTTTTGAGGAAGGTGATGTCTTGCTCGAGGTGTGGAGAAATTGGGCTTTGCTAGCCTCATGAGTTTGACTGTCATAGTCTCGTAACTGCATAGATATGTAAGCAGAAAGACAGACCGACAGACAGACGGACAGACGAACAGACGGACAGACAGACAGACAGAGAGACAGACGACGACAGACGGACGGACAGACAGACAGACACAGATAGATATAGCGAGACAGCCAGACAGATGCACACATACCTGACACACAAAAGTGATCGAAGAAGCCCAGCGGTAGCAGAGGAGCTATTTGTCATTTGTCCAGGTTAGATGTTGACTTGGTAACACTGGTCATAACCATAGTGATAACAAACTGACAGTATGCGAACTTCGCAAGCACACAGGCAATGGCTGTTACAAACAAGGCAAAGCTTGTCAAACTGTCGGGCTGGCGGCAGATCACGCTCCCGGCTAGTCAACCGCGCAGAGGGCATCGCAGACAAAGGCAGCCACGGACGTCTTTGGCCTGGGTGGCACGAAAGGGGCAGGGGTGCTGACAGTGGTTGAGACGGCTTTCAGCAGGGTTAACCAAAGATTCTTTTGGCAACCTTATGCTCGTACATCAGACTGTCATGAAACATTCTCTTAAACCTCATTTCATCTCCTGTTCATATACTACCCGTCTACTGCTGAAGTACTGCGTCATTACTTTTTTTTAACAGGACTGACATGCTCTAGCCATGCTGAAAGTAAGCACTGTCAGCGTAACCGTACCGAGGGCTGGTGCTGGAGCCCGAAGAATACGATACAACAACACCCCCTCGTTATAACGGCTTCTAGGGCTTCACAGGAATCTGCCTATCGAAGGGTTCTATCCTCTCCAGAGCTTACGGCTTCAGTCTTCATCCTCCAGGTTTAGACGTCAGGTCATAAGTATAATGTACAACTGTCTCAAAGGAAAAGAGAGAAAAACGTGCGCTGGCTCCGAGGATTCCGAAGCACCGGGCATTGGAGCCTCAGAACGAACATTAAGCTCTCCAGCCCAAACCTTGTTTGGAGTTCAGGGTTGTCGCTTTGCCGGAATGGGGTTGAGGGTTGAGGGTTTACGAACCTACACCCCAACCCCGATGCCACAAGCCATAAAAATTCCTCAGAGGCGGGAACCGTGAAACCTAAGCAGCCCTGAATTGGGCTTTTGTCCCATGCTGCGGCCGGGATGCTTAGCGGCCAACGGCGCCCAGAGCTGTCATTGAGTAGACCTGACAGAAGACCTGATACTCGCAACCTCGAGCCCAACTCGCACGAGATGGCTTCAAAAAGAGAAGCTTGCGGGTGTTCGGCGGCTAGGGAATCATCAGGTTGAAGGGTGGTGGGGCTTAGGACTTGTAGGGTCTTGGCATCTGAGGTTTCGGGCTTTGGGATCTGGGAGGATAGCCTCAAACCTTGCGACAACACCAAAGCCCCTGCCCTCCACATGCAGCATGCAAAGCACTCCCATACAACGGCCGGGATAGACATAGCAATGGCAGTCTCCAACGTCCCCATGCAATCGCATGTCTAGGTTACACGGCCCAGTATATGTTAGGGGAAGAACCTTGCAAAACCTCGTAAAACTCTGAACCTGAAGTCGCGAAGTCAACCTGGAAAGCGAGGAGGATGGGGAGGATGACGCCAGTCAGAAAGAAGCGAGCAATGACAAGGTGGGAGAGCTAGCAATCGCAAAACTGCGGGCAACAACGACAAACAAAAACTGGCGGGTCTGGCACTGGCGAGTTAAGCTGCAGACCCCAGACCCGAAACAGACATAAGAGACCTTGCCCCTTGAACTCTATACCCTAGAGCCCTTAAACTTAAACTCTAAACCACTTAACCCCAAACCCGACCCTAAAGCCCTGAAACCTTGAAGGCGGGCACCGGGCACTTACAAGCACCGCCGCAGCGATGAGCTGTAGCTCCTTGCTCGATGGATCTCGAGCTTGCTTCTGTTTTCGGCGCCCTACACTGCGAGTACCGGGTTTAGGGTTCAGGGCAGGGTAGGACCGACAAAACACTACGGCAACTCTATGGGATTAAGGTTGGTGGTTCAGCTCCCACTTTTTCTCACCTGGAACCGGGAAACCGTCCCCCACGAAATGCCAGATTCGATTTGCACCCTAAGTCTCTGCCTCTAGATTTCCGAATCCCCTCAACCCTAAACCACTAAATCCCAAACCTCTACCTTCCGGAGGTACCCCTTTGTAGGTCGCAGTATAAAAACCCAACGAACCCTGAACAAAATCCTATGAACAGACAGCCCACCTCCGACGCGTGCAAAAGCCGCTCCAGGCGCTGGCGCCTGGGAATTTGAACTTCATGAGACATCCAACCGAGTCTTACAGGGTTCTTGAAATGTTCCCAACATGTTCCCATAAGTGTTCGTACAAGGGTTCCAACAAGGGCTCCGATAAAGGTGCCATCAAGGCTACTATAAGGATTACTTTGGTTGTTTGGAAGTTTTGGGGGTTCAAAGGGGTCAGAAGCTTCAGGATTCAGGGTTTACGGGCTTGGGGGGTTCAGGGCCATTATCCATTTTCTGCCTTCGAACATCCCAACATCCAACAAGTGACTGATATACAAGCCTACATTACTAATAACATTTTTCAATTAAAACGCTCAATCCATAAAACAATCATCGCACAGCATACCCAACACATCCCAAAGCCCTATTCCAAAATTCAAGACCCCCAGATCAGGTTCGGCACTGAAGGTTTGGCAGCTCCTTGGGACTTCACAACTTGCCGCCTTGAGTTCCATTCGATTCAAGGCTGAGGACGCAAAGTTGAGGATTCACGGTAGAAACTGGTAAGTTGCCAGTTCGACGCTCAGGCTCATAGGGACCTGAAAAGTCGGATCCAAACCCTCTGAACATCCCATGTTGGATCACTTCGGGCTAAAGCTTGAGGACGTGTGACTTGGGGCCGAAGGAAACCTATGAAACTCGCGCACCACCGCACAACGGCTCTTTTCCACGCCCCGCTTGCAAGGCCGATCGATCCGTAGATCCACCCCGAGGCCTTGGCAGTGACCCCGTAAGCCCACAAGCCCAAGACTAGCACTGCCAGCATTCTTAACTTTAATGCTGCGTATAGGTATACTGTAGCAGTACTACTAGTAGCAATAGTAGTGGTGCTAGTCTATCGACAGCCGCGTAAGGACAGAGTTGACATGTAAGAGCAGCATGCTGCTAGCATCCACCACTGTCATCGTCAGTACTCGCATTTGTTTTATCGTGAAGGCCCGTAGACGGAAGAACCGCATTACCAAGCCTACAAGACCTGAACACCAATCATAACGACCCTACTTCCTAAACCCTAATAGGCCCTAATAACCTCGACCATGAACTTACACTCAAAGCCCCCAAAGCCCCCCAAAAAAAAGACGGAAACGACCTCATGGAATCGACGCTGTGAAACGTGGTCGCGGCACCGAATCGGGAGTTCCGGGCGCTGGGGGCGTGAAATGCAGCTCCGAAGTCCCAAACGCGGTTTTTCAGGGTTTTCAGTGCTTTATAGCTGGGGCTTTAAGGGTTTCGGGTCAGGTTTGGGGTTTTAGGGTTTCGGCTTTGGGGGTTGAGGGTTTTGTGGTTTCAGGTTTGGGGGTTTTGGGTTTTGGGGTTACAGGTTTGGTTTTTAGGGTTTTAGGGTTTCGGGTTTGGGGCTTGGGGTTCAGGGCAAAATGTAGACATGAAACTACCGTCCTTCCGTAGTGGGCCTTCTGTTTTGGAACTTCACGTCTCAGGTTTAGGCTAACAAATCCAGAACCTCAAAACCGCTCAAACTCTGCTTTCAGCTAGCTAGTCCCAAACAACAACAAGGCCAACCATGAACCTTAGCGCCGTGAAGCCCCTGTATAACCAAGGACGTAAGGCCCTAAATCCGTAGTCACAACCCCAAACAACCCCAAATAAACCAAGCACAGCACAGACCCAAAAGCCGTATACCCATACGAGCCTTAGCACCACGTAGCCTCATAGCCCCAAAGACCCCAAAGCCTAAGCCCCATCCCAACATCCACTCCCGGTTTAGGGTTTAGGGTTTAGGGTTTAGGGTTTAGGGTTTAGGGTTTAGGGTTTAGGGTTTAGGGTTTAGGGTTTAGGGTTTCCATGCAACCCTAAAACCTAAATCCCAGCCCCTCAACCCTGACACCTGTAGCATTATTTTTGTTACCTAAGCCCCAGAAGCATTTCAGCAATCCTCTACTCCCCTAGACCCCAACACCCGAACCCGAAACCCCAAACCCTTCTCGATAAACCCTACTCCGTATATCCTGCTCCCTAAACCCCCAACCCTACTCCCTAAACCCCAAAGAAACCCAAACTCCCTAAACCCCAAACCCTCCTCACTAAACCCCAAAGCCTCTTTTGAACCCCAACAATAATGAATAGTAATGATCAATGATCATAATAACAACAATAATAATAACAATAATGAAAGTATCAGTAAACCCCAAATGAACCCTCAAACTCCATAACCCCCAAACCCTACCCCCTCTTTTGAACCCCACATATACCCCAAAGCCTACTCCCTCTTTTGAACCCCACGGAATCCCGGCTCTCCCTCTCCGCCGCGGCCAAAGGCTCAGGCGACTCCATGGAGGGCCTTTGCCTCATGCCAGAAGCTCACTGAAAAAGAGGGGTGTTCTAGGGTTTAGGGCTTAGGGTTTAGAGGGTTTTGCTTTAGGGTCTGCGGCTTCGGGTTTAGGGTTTAGGGCTTAGGGTTTGGGGTTTGGGGCTTCGGGTTTCGGGCTCAGGGTTTAGGGTTTGGGGCTTCGGGTTTAGGGTTTAGGGTTTAGGGTTTGGGTGGGTTTTGCGGTCTAGTGCTTCGGGGCCAAAGAACTCCAACAGTCTTCGAGGCCGCATAAAGATGCAAAGCAGGACTGCCGAAGGACCAAAACGCCAAAGAGAGAGGCACCCCGAACCCTCAACCGTTCAGCACCCTTCTTGAACACTTAAAGGAACCCTTCCAATTTTTCTTGGAAGAAAGTCTTTGAAGGAAACCTTCAAAGGAACGTATAGCACCCTTCAAAGGAGCCCCAAACCCTAACCCGGGCCTCCTCCGAGAGGTCACTGGGATACGCCATCCCGGTGGAGCCCGCGTGAAAGCGGCCTCGAACTACAAGTGTAATATAGGGGCCTTAATAGAATCGGGTTCCTATTAAAGGGGTCTATATGAGGGTTACAAAAAGGGATCTATAAGGGTACCATACTATAAGGGCCTTAACAATTGGTTTGGAGGTATATTCTACGATAATAACGGTAATAAGAATAATAAGAATAAGGAACCCCCCAAATAGTATAGGTGATTAATGAAGCCGCTATAGTAGGGCTCACAGTTTCAGGGGGCTCTCTTGGGGCTGAGAGTTTTGGATCCTCGGGGTCGGTCGAGGTTCGGAACTGCTGCTTATGCTTCAAACCTGCCGGCTGCAATGACGTTCAAGAACACAAGCAGTGCACGCAGGGATACACTATGAAGAAGTGGCAACAAGTCTAACCTCCATTTTACACAGTACCGGTGCCGACTTCAATCGCTTCAAGGCCTTGGGTCTCAGACCTTGACACACTGGTCAGACCAAAACTTTACATTCCGATCTTGAGGTGGAAAGGTTGAAATGTGGCCCACACTGCAGCAAAACCCTGAAATCCCGGAACCCTGCCCTCGAGCCCTGTTGAACCGCGCGGCTCTTCTTGAAGGGCTCGAAGCCCTCAGCCTTGTGGTTCAGCGTCACGGCCACGCCGCCGGCCTGATAGGTTGCTGGATGGGTGCTGAGACTAACACTTATACGAATACTTGTACGACTACGAATACTAATAATTACAATAACGACAATAACAGCAATTTTCCTTTGAATAAGGTTTAAGATAGATTCTACAAAGCTTTCAACAAGAAACCTACGGTAGGTTTGGCGATGAGGTCGAAGTACAGCCCCCGCAAACCCTGGTGAGCGCGGGTGTTTCAGAGTGGTGAGGGCTTCGGGGTCTTGAGCTTGCAGAACCTGTAAATTGAGGGCGCGGGCGCAGGGTTTCGGGCTTCATCCTCCCAGCTTCTCTGAACAACCACACGTACCCTTGAGAAGGGGCCCTTGCCTGAAACTCCGAAAATCTTCGGCTCTAAACTCTAAACACTCAAAATACACAAACCCGTGAGCTCCACGACTCTGAACTCGTGAGGACATGGCTTCCCAATCGCGCGGGTTTCGGGACCCCGCGGCGTCTAACTCCCTTTCCCCAGCTTCTTTTCCTCATGTCCGAACCCTCCCGCCTCCTCCCCCTCAAGCTCCGAACCCCGAAGCTTCCCCTTCTAAGATCTGACGCTCGCCGGGCTCTGGGCTACAAGAGTTCGTGAAGCCTAGGACGACTTCTGAACCACTCTGACCCTGATCCGAAGCCCCCAGGCTTGAAAACCCCAAGCCCGAAGGAAGGGTGCCTGGAAAGCCTCCCGACGCTTCTTGAGCACCGCCTCCAAAGCAGCAAAAGGCTTCAAACTTGACTGGGTGGGCTACAGTGACGTAATATTATCTGAATACGATAGAACAGACTATAACAAAAAACGATATAACAGTTTAAGCTTTCGGGGGCCGCAGGTTTACTCTGGGAGAAGGCGAAGCCCAGTCAAGCTCAACTCGTACCGCCGGGCTTGCAAAGTCCCCCTAAACCCCTACCCTAAACCCCTAAAGGCGCAAAACCCTAAACCCCTCAAACCCCCAAACACTAAATTCTTGAACCCCCTAAGCCCCCGAACCCTAAACACTGAACCCCCTAAAACCGCTAAAACCCCTAAAACCCCCTAAACCACAATCATGATAATAGCAATAATAACACTAATAATCATAATACCAATAAACTCCGAAGCCGAAACTCCCAAAGTGCTCCAACCCCCTCGAAGCCTCCGGCGTAAACTCGCGCAAGCCTAGGCCTCGAGACTGCGGGCTGAAAAGCCCAGGGGTTTAGGCTTTGAGTTTAGGGGGTTTAGGGGGGTAAGGGGTTTAGGGTGTAGGACTTCTGGTTTAGGGTTTAGGGTTTAGGATTTATGGTTTAGGGTTTAGGATTTATGGTTTAGGGTTTAGGGTTTATGGTTTAGGGCTTAGGGTCTTTGGGACTTGTGGGTTAGAGGGCTTGGGGAATTTCGAACACCTCAACAGCCCTAAAACCGAGGGCCTCAGGACTTCAGTGCCTGAGGACTTCGATGCTGAGGTCTTCGGATCTCTGCTCTCCTAGGGTCCCTAGAGGCGCCCGCTCAAAAAGCCGGGCTTCTCTGTAGATTCGAAGATACCCCGCATGCCTAGCCCTGCCACTTCGGAAACTGCAACGGAATCCTGAACTGCGAAACCTGATCCCTTAGTGGGTGCTGCATGTGCACAGGTACACCAGATGTAGACATGTTTAGCTACATGCACAAGACCAAGCCAAAGAGAAATTTAAAAAAAAACACACCTAATGCATGGTCTATACCTGCTACCCCCGAGGCCCCAATCCGAAAGAGCCGGGGTCTTCCCTTGCCCTAAACACCTAAATCCCGATGCCCCCCCCCCCCAAAAAAAAAAAACATGGGCACAATTTCGAGGGGGCCGCTGAAGTAGGCCGCTGCTCGCCCAACGGAGGTGCGACGGCCTGCTGCAGACTCCGCACGCACACATTGCCCGGATAACTCTGAACCCTAAACCCGAAAATCCTATGCATACATGCCTTTAGCAACCCTTACAGTCACCCGAAAACATACATATCATACATCTGCAACCCTTACAGTAACCCTGTGAGTAGAAACCCTGAAAAAGGGTCCCCCCGCCTCCGCTTCCGCTGGGCTCCTGGGAGCGACTCCCGGCGGGCGTCAGTGGAGCGCCGCCCTGGGCTCTCGGGGAGGACGCTCCGTACTAAAACGGTGGGTTTTAATAAGGCTCAAAATATGTGGTATAAGGGTTAGAATTGGGCTCATAATGAATGTTCTAAGGGTTACAATAAGGCTCATAATATATGTCATAAGAGCTTCTTCATGTAAAGGGTTAGAACCAGGCAACCAATATGGATTATAGGAGGACGCTTCTTGCTTTAACACCACCACCACCACCACTACGACGACGAGGAGACGTCGACGGGAGGATGAGGAGGATGAGCAGTAGTGGTTTGTCGTCGTCGTAGTAGTAGTAGTAGTAGTAGTAGTCGTAGTAGTAGTAGTAGTAGTAGTAGTAGTAGTAGTAGTAGTACTAGTACTAGTACTAGTACTAGTACTAGTACTAGTACTAGTACTAGTACTAGTACTAGTACTAGTACTAGTACTAGTACGTCGTCGTTGTAATAGCAGTAGTAGTAGTACTAGTAGTAGTAGTAGTAGTACTAGTAGTAGTAGTAGTAGTAGTAGTAGTAGTAGTAGTAGTAGTAGTAGTAGTAGTAGTAGTAGTAGTAGTAGTAGTAGTAGTAGAGGTGGTAGAAGTGGTAGAGGTGGTAGAGGTGGCAGAGGTGGTAGTAGTGGTAGCAGTCGTAGTAGTGGTAGCAGTACACTGATAGTAACAATGACGAGTAACCTCAAACAGCAGCTACAACAAGGGGCCTAGTGGCAACAATGATATAACCCCACAGTCGGGCCTGGTGCACCAGGCGGGAGTCCCAGAGGATGACGTCGCCCCGACCTCGGCTGGCCGTTGGGAGCTGAAGCCCGCAGCCGGCGACCCGCCATGGTTTGCGGTTTAGGGTTTAAGGTTTAGGGGGTTTAAGGAGTTTAGGGTTTAGGGGATTTGAGGTTTAGGGTTTAGGGTTTCGTGGCTTGAGACTTGGGGCATCTTGGGGCTGAAACCTTCGGGGCTTACACCAGCAAACTTGACGCACCACGCCCTGAACTCTTGTCCTAACATTTGCAACTTATGCGGAAGTCCAGACAATGATTCAACCATCAACCATGAGCCTAGAAGCCTGTGAGACGCGAGTTGGGGGCTGATGCCGAGAAGTCCAAAACTTCAGGGCAGAAGATTTGTAAGCAGAGGGGCATCTATTCTGGTTCAACCATGATCGTAAGACATACGACAAATAGCAGGAATACTGCGAGCAGTGGCGGTAGTAGTGGTAGTAGCAGCAGCGCCAGCACCGCCACCACCAGCACCAGCACCAGCGCAGTAGTAGTCGTGAACCGCAAACAGGAGCCTGCTGCATGTTGTCGCTCCCTGCAAATCCACTTGCAAGATCCCCAGGGAAACCGCCGAGCTCGCTGCCGACAGGGACGCGCTGGCGACGGAATCCTTTGCCCTGGCACATCAGCACGGCAACCTTAAACCCGAAACAAAGCCGCCAGCCTGAACCCTAACCTCCCTCTCCTAAAGACCTAAGCTCATCAAGACTCGTTTTGCCGTAAGCCAAAAAAACCTGAAAAAAGTCTCTCTCGTGTTTGCTCATCTGGGCCTCGGCAGAGACTTTAGGGTTCAGGAGTTTCGGCATACCATGTGGGATTGCAACAAGGCTTGCTATGGAGGTTTGGGCTGTAGGGTTTTGGGCTTTCAAAACCAGCCCAAAACCACCGAGCGCTCCAACACTACAAGCCAGAGCCAGATGACCCTTTGCATAAACTACAGCTTCAACTAAAGTTTCAAAACAAAAGTAACCCCAAAACCTAAACCTGAGCCCAATCATGAATATCTTGATAACGTAGTAGTAGTAGTAGTAGTAGTAGTAGTAGTAGTAGTAGTAGTAGTAGTAGTAGTAGTAGTCGTAGTCGTAGTCGTAGTCGTAGTCGTAGTCGTAGTCGTAGTCGTAGTCTTAGTCGTAGTCGTCGTAGTCGTAGTCGTAGTGGTAGTAGTCGTAGTAGTAGTCGTAGTCGTAGTCGTCGTAGTAGTGTCGTAGTCGTAGTAGTCGTCGTAGTCGTAGTCGTCGTAGTCGTAGTAGTCGTAGTAGTCGTAGTAGTCGTAGTCGTAGTCGTAGTCGTAGTCGTAGTAGTAGTAGTAGTAGTAGTAGTAGTAGTAGTAGTAGTAGTAGTACGTCGTAGTACGTCGTAGTACGTCGTAGTACGTCGTAGTACGTCGTAGTGGTAGTGGTAGAGGTGGTAGAGGTGGTAGAGGTGGTAGAGGTGGTAGAGGTGGTAGAGGTGGTAGAGGTGGTGGAGGTGGTAGAGGTGGTAGTAGTGGTAGTAGTAGTAGCAGCAGGAGTAGTAGTAGCAGTAGTAGTAGTAGTAGTGGTCCCATAGTAGTCCTAGCAGTAGTCCTAGTAGTCGTCCTAGTAGTAGTAGCAGTAGTAGTGGTAGTAGAACACGAACACGAGCACCCCGTTTTTGGTCTTTCGCCTGCAGCCAACCCCGGCCGGCTTCCAGGAGCGGTCGGAAGGGCCCGTTTGGCGTGTCGCAGAGGCCTCAGGAAGGGAGGGGTGGAAGCTCCAGTGCTTGGAGTTTCTGCGTAGCAGATGAGCTAGTATTGAATACTATCCACTTTCTTAGAAGGACGCCGTTCCCCAAGAAGGGTTATACTAAGAAGAAATGGTCCGTATGTCTCTTCCAAATCTCCCTAATGTTGTCTGTCACTCAGGCGACTGCTTTCCGCGCGTTGCTACAATTGTGGCGTCTTTTTCCCTGAAAGCATACGGTTCAGATTCCTCGTCGATGATGCTTTGATCCGAGGTTAGGAGTTTGGAAAGGGTGGGCTCGGGGCTTAAAGGCTTCAGGTTCAGGGCTTGGGGTTTGGGACGGCAAGCTTAAAGTGCCCCCAAGCCGACAGCTCAACGGACATTTTCAGGGTGTCTTGCTTCAGCTTTAATCAAAGGGTTTGATGTACCTTATACAACAAACTATAGAAGGACTATGAGAGCATACCGTTACCACTTCCTCCGTCTTACTAGGCGGCACAGCTGAATCCTACGGTTCTCTCAGGCCCCCAGCCCGCAGTCTGCTGCAGTTCGCGGAAGGTTTCATCATCCTGCTGCAAACACGGGCATGAAGCTTTGGGATACATTGTGGGAGTTGCCGAACATAGGAGCCATAATATAGCACCCTTAATAGTAGGATCCTTATCATGAGGACCCCAAAATGAGGTACCCCTCATGAATTAAAAATCCCATGTGTATGTGTATGCGCATCTATATATATATATACATACATATATATGTATATATACATATGTATATATATATATATATATATACATATATATATATATATACATATACATATATATATATACATATACATATACACGGTACCCCAACACGATCATGCTGATACCTGACTCGCGATACGCAGTCGCTTCTGCGATTGAACCACGCAAAGATATACTTGCTGTGGTGATGCGCTATTGCAAAGAGCTGCTGGATGCAATGATGTATGTATACATACTTGTATTCGGGTCTATCTGTGTATCTATCCATTTATCTATCTATCTTTCTGACCACCTAGCTACACGTCGTTCTATCTATCTTTGCAGACAGCTAGTCATTTTGCGAAAGTTTTTTTGCACGAGCAAATCAGAGAACCAAATTTACAAACAACTTTTCAGGCGCTAGTGCAATGCTACAAGGATTAAGACTTAAGGTTCCGAAGTTGACTTGTCCTGTTGAGTTGTGCTGTTGTGTCAATACTGTACTGCTACATCGCCGTACAGCTGCATCAACACAATACCACGTCTTTACCCTGCCCTGCGAGCGTAAGCATGTGCATACATATGCGTCCGTGTTCACATAATAATGTGTGCAAATATTCACGCAAGTGTTCACGCAAGCATACATGCATGCATACATGCATGCATACATGCTGCATGCATGGGTGCTTGCGTGGGTGCGTGCGTGTGTGTGTGTGTGTGTGTGTGTGTGTGTGTGTGTGCGCGCGTTCGTGCATGCGTGCTTGCATGCATGTACGTATGTATGTATGCATGTATGCATGCATGTATGCATGCCTGTATGGTTCATGTATGTATGCATGTATGCATGCCATTGGGCTTCAGATATCATTAGCAATAAATAGTTGCAATGCGGCTGTAGGACATTTTGCTTTGATGGTTCTACTGCGATGTACAACTTGTTTGTGCATTCTTTTCACATGGACATGCGACATACCACCCCCGTGCTGTACACTCACATGAAACCGGGGCATTAGCATGTTGCAAATGAGTCTCACTTTCTTGCTCGACCCTGAAATCCAAATCCTGAATGTCGGACAGCGGCAAAATACTTCAATTACATCTTGAGCCGAATTCCCCAAAGCCGAGGTGAAAAAACCTTGCATACCCACGAAGCTCCGGAAGCCTGCGTCCCCGGCCAACACTCGAAGGCTGCGCCAACCTGGTGCTCCAAGCTCCGGGCGACTTTCGATTTCAGCCCAGACAGGATGACAATGCATCGAGTTTCGACGTGGACGTTGCGATCACCCAACTGGACACTAAGCATTATTGTGTAGAACCCTCGTGAGGAACATCGCAATTCCACCGCAGGAACCCCAAGGTCAAAAGGTTTGAGCCATTTCATGTCCAAGATAGGAAACATGGTGGAAGCATATATCTATAAACGTCATGAAGAAAACATGCTCAAATCACCGCTTAACCTTTGTATGTTTTCATGAAGGACTGTGCGGCAAGCAGAAAGGACTATGCTGTGGCCTGCGTCTTCCTGAACCCGACACCCCAAATCCCGCAGAGACGACGCAGGAACGTTCCCGCATGTTCACCCTGAGCCCTCAAGCATGCAAGATCCCGTAAGCTGGCATTCGGTAATCCTCTTGTGATACCTTAAGGAGGATCGGTTACATATTTGATTATGTACGACATGCTCCGGATCTGGTCAATATGAAGCACGGCTATATATGCAGAACGACACCCTGAGCTCCTAACTCTTGCACATGCGATCAACGAGCGTTCCAAGAATCTTTGCTTGATGCCCAAGTCCGGAGGCACTGAGAGAAAACAGTTCCTTGCGGTTCTTGTGCAAACAACCGCAATGCAACATTCCCTGATTTGCGAAATGCTCGCCCACTGACATGCGGACATGCTGCAAATACGAAGGCATGGAGCTCTGCGTTCGGATGTGTTTCGGCTCTCTTGGGTTCGCAGGTCCGCAAGGAAGGCACAGAATTTCTGAGTTGTCAATGCACCGCAAGTGTCTCCGCGCCCTTCAAGCGTCTCCGGACAGCATTAGAGGTGCGAGTGGATGGGCGATGCAACCGGGCGAATTCCATGTGTGCGCGGGCATCGACTCCAAACCTGAGAGCCCGCAAGCCTCAAGATGAAATTCAAGTTCCAAGCATACTTTGCTTCAAGTCAGCATCGCAGCAACTACGTGCAATTCTGGGCGGTGGAAGCGTCTTTTTTCTGTTGGGCTTCTTTGAGCACCTGCGCAACATCGGTTTGCGAGGTCCTCAACCTTGAACAGAGCAGAGATGCTCCAATCGATGGAATGTTTCGCTGCCCCTACAGACAATACATCAGAGGTTGCAACCTGAAAAACTGAAGGGAGCAGCAATTTATGGGAACTTCCGCATACTCCTATCATGCTGCCTCGCCTCACAGATTCTGAACCGTCGGTTGCCTGACACCTTAGCCCTAACCCTAAACCCTAAACCCTTTTGCATGGCACCCTGGATCTCCAAACATTCAAAGCCCTACCTCAAACAGTCCTTAAGCCCCAAACTTCAAACACCTTGAACCCCAAATCCCAAACCTTCAAGCGCTCTAATGTTCAACCCGAAACCTGAATGTCCAAACACTCTTGCCTTCAACCTCCAAGCCCTGTAAACCTTGCCATGACCCTACACCCTAGACCCTAATCCTCGAAAGTTGGAAGCTTGGAGCCCATACCCTAAACCCTAAACCCTAAACCGTGGCCGCCTCCGGATCGAGAGCATTCAGGGCGACCACCCCTGGCGAGGAAGAACTCGAGAATTAGAACATGGCTCCTACACGGGTTTAGGGGTTAGGGTTGCACGAGTTCCTTTAAGGTATCCTATTGACGGGTTAGCTTCGAGGTCTGAGAGGTCTGAGTAGTTGAAATCATTGGGCTCCTTTGAGGATTACTATTAGCGGCTTAAAGGTCTGAATAATTGAAACACTGGGGTTCCTTGAAGGGCTACTTAAATGGGTCCAGTATCGGGTCCTCATGTTCTGTTATATAGCAATAAGAGGGGTTCAGACAGGGCTGGCTTTGAGAGCTTTACGGCTGCGGAGTGCAAAGGGTTCCCTCGTTAGGATCGAACTTCCCAAGGGAGGGGATATTGAGCTATACTGAAAGTAAGGAACCCCCAACATAGTATAGGCAACTAAATACTAAGGCCCCCATAGACACTGAGCCACGACTGCTGCGCTCCTACAGCGATCAGCAAGCGCCTGCAGCATCCTCCTACCCTGTCTTTTAACCCAAAGCCCATCCAAAGGCGCAAAGCGCAGCGAAACCCAGAAAGTCCTGCATCGGCTCCTACAAGTGATAGGACTTTGCAACTTCGATCCACCAACGGGGGGGGGGCTTGGCTTTGGGTTTTCAGCAAGATGGGTTTAGGGTTTAGGGCTTTTAGGGTTTAGGGCTTAGGGAGTCCAACATCAAAAGACTTTGGCTTTGGTGTCTGCATATATTGACTCGTCGCAGCTCCAACTTACCCCGGCCGCCTTGAATCCAGGTGCATCCGGTGCTCTCACCGCCAATCAAGACCTCATACAGGCTCTGCAGATCTTCAGCATTTTTGCTCGACATCGTGCAAGTCAACAGCCAACACCCTGAACCCCTTTCTGTGGTTTCTGCGCCTTCGAGGCCTCACTACATTCTTTACATGTATGCATGCTTGTCGGGCACATGCCAACCCCGATTTCAACTCGTAAACTCTCTCCCCGAAGACGGACGGCTTCACACTCCGAACCTCCAAAGCAACCTCAATTGAACCCTTGAAGTCCACACCCCAAGGCCTACACCCGACGCTCCCATCGCTGGCCCCAAGAATCTGTAAATCCGGAGGCGGCTCATAAAAAGCCCATAAAAAGCCCGGCCAGCGAAACCCCTAACACCCCCAACCCCTAAAAACCCGAAAAACCCTAAAAACCCGAAAAACCCCAAAAACCCTAAACCCTCAACCCCTAACACCCCTAAGCCCTGGGCCTCCTCTTCGTCAAGGCTTCAAACCCGAGGCCCGAGGCCCCATGCCCCAAGGCCTCGTCCCTGTGGTCCTCTTTAAGGGATATAAGTTAGAAGCTGCCTCCACCCTGTAATAGTGACTATAAGGATTATATTAGGGCCCTATTACATTCCTATTATACCACTATTACAGGGTGGGGCCCCTTCTAAGATATAAGTCCCTAATAGATCCCCTTGAAGGGACCCGAAGGAATACCATGAGAGATACTATTATCGATCCCTTTGAAGGGAACCGAAGGAATAGCATAGGTAAATCATAAGAGATACTAGTATAGATCCCTTGAAAGGAAGCCTTTCAGGAACCCTTCGGTAACTCCTTATGGAACCCCTTTCAACAAAGGAACCCTTTAAGGGACATAGTCCCTAATATCGAATGGTATAGGTAACTACTAAGACCCCAATCCTTTAAGCCCCAACATAGTACCCTACTCCAGATCCCTTTACATGGACCCTAAGGAAGAATAGAGGCAACGAGGAAAACCCCACAGCCTGGTCCGTGTGGTCCCACTCCGACCGCCGCCAGAGCTTCGTCACCGGACGCCCAAAGGTGAAACCTTGGAGCACTCCACGTTCATGGGTTTGGGGCTTAGGGGTTTTCAGGATTGTAGGTTTAGGGTTCAGGGTTTCGAGACCGAAAAAAAACGGCCCCTTTTGACGAGGAGCCGTCCCAGCTCGCGTGGTGCGGCCGGTCTGCGTAGATGCCACGCTCCACCAGGCGACGGCGGAAGAGGAGCCGCTCCTGCTGGAGTTCTTTCGGGGAGAAATTGAGTTGGGTTCCTTTAAAGGGTACCATGAAGGTTCCTGTGAGGGATCTTTCGGGGTTTAGGGTCTTGGGGGTTTAGAGCTGGGGGGGTCAGGGCTTTGGGCAGATATGTCAGTTTCGGAGATGAGGGCTGAAATGTTAAAGGGCAAGGGTTTCGGAGCAGGCTTCAGGGTGTAGGGGCTGGGGTTCCGGCATGTCTTGAGACAGGTTCAAATGGGTTTCCGGAGGCCTCGAGAGTGGAACTCGGAGTAGCTTTCTGCTTCAAACTTTTTGTGTGTCATGTTTTAACTCCAAGGTTTGGGACTCAGTGAGTTCTGTTAGCACAATGTTCAAAAGTTAGAGCAATTGAAAACTCCGAATTCGCGACGAGTCTCAGGGAACCCTTGGTGCCCTTACTATCAAGGCTTGCGGTCCGAGGCCTGTGGGCCCAAGCGAGATCTTGAGTACCATATTATTTACTATATGGGAGTTTCCGAAAATTGGGGGTACCTTATTTAGGGGTCCTTGTAATAAGGATCCTACTAATTTGGGGTACTATATTAGGGTCCCCTATTTTCGGAAACCCCCATATCGACCCTATTATGGTAACTTACATTTACGATAGATCCGATTATGGTAACTTGAACTTACTACAGATCCTACTATGGTAACTTACATGTACTACAGATCCGGTTATGGTAACTTAAGTTTACCATGGATCCTACTATGGTAACTTAAATTTACCATAGATCCTATTATGGTAACTTAAATTAAATTCTTTACAAGAAACCAGACTACTGTGAGCTCGCGTAGGCTTGCTGTCTCGTCACACACCGCCTCGGAAACGCAAAGTCCGCTGACAAAGCTCCAGAGCCTGCATCCGAAAAAGACGGATGAGCTGCGAACTTCAGGACCCACGCCCGAACCTGGAACCCTATCGCCTGAAAACCGACACCCCAAAGGAAACGCTCCCGAACCTCCCAGAGCACCCAGCCGGCACCCAGAAGTTGGCAGAGGCCTCGGAGGTTCGACTTCGTCTAAAAGACACACCAGGTCTAATCCTTTAGGGTTTAGGGTTTAGGGTTTAGGGTTTAGGGTTTAGGGTTTAGGGTTTAGGGTTTCCACGTCTACATGCGGATGCAGGCACGTATTAAACACAACACACACAGACAATACACAGAGGTCAGACGAAGGAAGAGAATTAAACACCAAGACCGACTTATCACAATCAATCACAGTACTTGCGGCCCTACTTAAGACTACCCACCAACCCGCAAGACCCGAACCGCCGCTGCACCTGAACATACCCCTACTTACAACTTCTCAGGAACTTTGAGGTACCACTCTATCCGAGCAGCACTTGCCCCTTGCAAAGGCTCCCCAATTCTCGGCCGTCCAAGTGGATTCCTCGGACAAAGGTTGGTCCATCCAGGGTTCGAAGTTGAAGAGCTTTGGGATTCTTGGCTTAAGGACTTGAGTCTTGAGTGCGTACCGGTTTGGGGCTTTGGTTTCGGGTTTCCGGGGTCACGGTTCAGGGGCTTAGGGTCGAAGGATCTGGCTTCGGCTTCTAGGAATCGGAAACCGCAACTTTGGGCCTCGCTATAGTGGTCGGGAGCTGCAAGGGGCTACCTCTCAACTCAGCCCTACCGCCAACAAGCACAAAAGCCTGTAAGGTAATTACGCCTGAACTCGGAACCTCTTCAGATTTTCCGAAAAGAAAACCTGGACCCGAAAGCGCAGAACTCGGAGAGGTCGCTCTGCCAACAATGCCATGTCCCATCCGCATAATTTGGGCTTCAGACCCCAAAAGGGGCCCCAAATTCCGACACGTCGACGCTACACAGCGCCGAGCTGCGTCCGCGGCCTTCAGGGAAGGGCAGCGGCCCTCCGCGAAGCCCCAGATCTTGTCCACGGCCGCGTCACCTCCCCACAATCAAGACCATGAGCCTTATAAATTAGAATAGGGTTTTGGGGGGGGTATAGTATACTCTATACTCTAGTTATTTTAAGTTTCGGGGCGTCCGAGTCTTTCAATCACCAGACTCTTGCAGGTCTACGGCCTTCGGTCACACTCTTCTCCCATCCCTACACCCTACAACCCGGCAAACCCCAGCCGAAGCCCAGCACCTAAAGCTCCAAGTCCTAAAAATCCTAAAAAAATCGAAAAACTCACAAACCCTGGACTGCCGGAACTCTAGGACCCTAAGCCCAGCCCTAAGCCCTACTACCCATCCTACCCGTCCTAGCCTAAGGACCCCCCCAGAGCCCTGGCCCCGAACTCCTGAGGCCCAGTCAAAGCGGGTGCTGAGCGCTTCTGTCGGACGACTTGGGGCTTCCACTGCTTTTTGGGTACCCATTTAGGGTTTAGGGTTTAGGGTTTAGGGTTTAGGGTTTAGGTGCCGTACTATATCAGGGACCCACAAAGGGACCATAATTTTGACAACCACCCATGTCGTAAGATGCTTCTGACTAAGCCTTCTGGACTAGTTCTTGAAGGCTCCATACCACATGGGCCCTCGTTTGAATGATGGCTTCGGTAAGGGCTTGGGCTAGGGTCAACTTGTCCGCCGGAACCTTGAACCCCAGCCTGACACACGAGAAAGCACAAAGACTTTCTAGTTCTCATTCTCTGTACGGAAATATTTGGGGAATTTATGTAGCACCCTAAGAAGCACATAAGCAAAAAAAACCTTATAATGAAGCCCAAGAAGGTCGGGATATCCCTATAAAATGCTTATACTTATGCTCATGTGTCCTTTTTGGGGTCCTGGTTAGGGTCAGGTCCGGCTTTCACCGGCGTTTCGGAGTCCGAGCCCGACGTCTTCAGGGTGCGGAGCTCTCAGGTTGAAGGGTACTTGGAGGATCATGGGAATTAGTAACTAAGGTTATAATTACCTTAAGTGGGGTTATAAGTATAGTTACCCTAGTTATAACCCTAGTTACTAAGTCCCATGATCCTTTAAGTAGGGTAGACCTGAAGGCCTAAAAAGGCCTAAAAAGGCCTAAAAAGGCGGACGAAGGCTCCCTAATATACTGGCCTTGATAATTTGAAAAGGGTTTTGGGGCCCTATAGACTGTAAATATTATGAGGAACCCCAGGATAGTATAGGTAATGATAAAGGCCCTATAGTAACCGCGGACTAAGGCACACTCTGCTTCCGAGAAGACGTTCCGGACGACGGTGTAGCCCTGCTTCACGAGCCCTGGCTCCAAGGACTCCGAGCTCGGATTGGCTTTCTAGAGATTTTACTGCTTCTTAGTAATCAAAGTAATAGTAACAACAACAGCCGTACTAGTAATAGTAGTAACATTGCTAGTACCACTAATAGTGGTAATAGTAATAATAGTATGGGGCCTTTATAGCAGGTTTCATACAAAGGGCCTTAAGGATTAGAATAGGCTAGGGAATCAGTACGGGGACTTGAAGGGAATGCTATGACTGCTGAGACTTGAACTTTCGGATGGTCTTTCTTCAGGGCTTCCGGCTGTGGAGAAGGATGCAGGGTTGAGGGACTTCTGGGCTTTCTGGCTTCCTGTGTCTTACTGGGGCTCCGTATTTCACTTGCTTCCTGGGCCTTGTTTGATGTTGCTTGGGGCTCACAGTGATCAGGAAAAAGCGTGAAGATTTCTAGAAGTAGGCCTGGGCCTAGACCTGACCCACCTTGAAGCGCGTAGGACAGAAGCCTGAATTCGGCGACAAACTCGTGGCCTCAAAATGCTTCGAAGATTTATAGATATTTACATTCGCCTGGCCTGTGTCCTACGACGGAGCTTCCTTATGCCGGCCGGCCTCCAAAATCTGAAAAATGTCTTGACTTTGAGCTCTCGCTCCCAACCCCCGATCGAGGGCCCAGCCCAGCGGATCTCAAGAACTTCTGTTTCAGAAGCTTCCCCAGGTCACCACCGATCCGTCGTAAAGCAAAGCGGCGAAGGCCTTGTTGCTGGCCTGGATCTGATGGACGCCCCTGAGCTGCGAGGCCACGGCGCTGCTGTCTCCGCCATCCCGCGGGCTTCCCCAGGAGACCACGGAGGCATCCGAGAGCAGCGCGGCGAAGGCGAAGCGTGTCGCCTGGATCTGCTCGACTCCCTTCAGCCTTTCCTGAACCTCCCCGCTGTCACCGCCGGCTGCAGGAAAGCCCCAGGTCACCACAGATCCATCGAGACATACGGCAGCAAAAGCAGAATCCGTGCTTTGGATCTGTTCCACCTGTCTCAGCTTCTCCGCGACAGCGCTGCTGTCGCCTCCGCACCGAAGGTCACCCCAAGACACGACCGAGCCGTCTCCACGAATCGCAGCAAAGGCCGAGCGAGTCGCCTGAATGCTCCGAACATCCCTCAGCTGCTCCGAAACACTGCGGCTGTCGCCACCATCCCCCGAGAATCCCCAGGTCACCACGCGGCCATCCGCCAGGATCGCCGCGAACGCGGATCCAGTGCTCTGGATCGCCCGTACCGCCGTCAGCTGCTCCTCTACTTCCCGGCAGTCCCCTCCGCACCAAGCTTTGCCCCAGGCCACCACGGCGCCAGTTTCCAGGATGGCGGCGAAGGCCGTTCCTGTCGCCAGGGGTGCAGGCTGTTTAAGCTGAGGAGACTCAAACGATTTCGGGTTGAGAGCGGGCCAACGCCAGAGTCTAGAGCACAAGTTAGTCTAAAGGTCCAGTGGACTGCAGGTGCCGCACGTTCTGGAGACGCATCTGCACATCGCGGATGTCTGCACCATTCTCCATGTCTCCCACGGCCCGAACGCTTCCATCGCGCAAGAGGGCTGCAAAGGTGGCTCCGTTACCTGCCAACTTCTAAGATCTTATAGATTGGGTACTGCCCCCATACAGTGATAGTCTGTCATAGGGCTACTATAAAGGCCCTAAATATATGTATATTATGAATATTATTCAACTGGTACTGAGTGGGGCCAGTACCCAATTTATAGACCTTTAGCACACTCAAAGGCAGTTCGAAGGGTGTAGCTCCAAGTTGCTTTGGACGCAAGACACATTGTCGAAAGCACACAGAACACCTCGGTAATGTGTCAGTGCCCCGGCTCCCGTCAAGACTCCCCAGACATCAACGGATCCATTGCTGTGGAGAGCCGCAAAAGCTGTTTTTGTAGACTGGATGCATTCCACTGCGCTTCCCTTATTGATGCAACGCTTTCCGTCGTGGCCCCAAGCTACCACAGAGCCATCAGCAAGGAGGGCCGCAAAGGTGGCATCAGTAGCTTGAATGCATAAGACATTCCTAAGCTTCTCCTGAACTCCGCTGCAATCTCCGCCGAATTCGGGGTTTCCCCATGTCACCACTGATCCATCTCCTTCGATGGCCGCAAACGCGTGCTGCGTTGCTGCAACTTGCAGAGGCCTCGCATAGAGCGTCAGCCTGTCCCCGGTTTGGAGGCCAGCCTGGGACAGACTTAGAGTCATCTCTCCTTCGATTTCTGCTCCAGACTCCGTCCTCAGCCTTCCCTTCGTGCTCAGAGCTGTCTGTGCACGGAGTCTCAGCTCTTCCACCGTGGACTCTGGCACCATCTCAACGTGGACTTCGCGCCCGCTGAGAAGGCTGACCGTGAGACACATGGACATCTTGCACAAGGAACAAGGATTCTCCCAGAATCGAAACTGAAGAAAAGCCTGGCATCTACAACTCGAGGTAAGACGGCCACAAAGTTTTGAGCTGTCACTGCCAAGCACAAGGCCACCCCAAGCCTCGAAACCCCCTGAACCCAGAACCCTAAACCCAAAAACCCCCCGGCAAAAACCCCCTGCAAAAAAGCCCTACACCAAAAGCCCATAACAGCCTTGTAGAAAAAACGCCTCAGAACCCTAAACTCTGAACCCTCAACCCTAAACCCCCGAAACCCCCTCGACTCCCAAGCCCTCAAAACCCCAAAACCCCAAGCCCTTTTTATCCCGGCCGCCGCCTACCAGCGCCTCCCGGCCGGCGGCGGCGCCGAGGTCGAAGAGGCTCAGAGCTCGGTTCCTTCCGCCTTGCGCCGCTTTCTTAGGGTCCAGGGTTTAGGGTTCAGGATTTAGGGTTTCGGGTTGAGGGCTTTGAGTTTAGAGTTTAGGGTTCAGGGTTTAGGGTCTCTTTAGGTTCCTGCTTTGTTTGAGGGCTGTATTTGAAGAGGGGTTCTATGAGAACATTGATGTTTTGGGATTCAAACTTCTAGGATTCGAGCTTGTTTCCTGATCCAGGTCTTCGGGATTTTACGGCTTGCAATTTTGGGGTCGAGGGTCTAGGGTGGGGGGTTAAGACTTTGGGTTGAAGCGTTTTGGGTAACAGAATTTGGGGCTTCAGGGTTTTGCAATGTTCAGGATTCTTCACTGGGCAGGTGTCAGAAGAATCTTACAGCCTGTCGTGGGGCTGTCTATCCCGCTGAGCGTGGAGTAGTTTCGCAGTTTTCCGGAGTCATCCATAATGTAGGACTCCGATTAAGAAACCCTGGGCCTATAACCCCAAAACAGTAGGATGCAAAAAAGGGACCCTAATGAAGACACACGGTTTCTTAATCAGGTTCCTACATTAGCTTTTGGGTGGACCCTCCGAAACTGTCACACTCTGACAATCAAGCCGGAGCCCCGACACGAACAAAGCTCCCACAAATCGTATAAACCGTACTGCGGAACCCATAACACCCATTAGAGAACCCTTTTAGGAAGCCTTATACGATTCCAGCACCCTGAAGAACGCTTTTAAAATTCCGCCCAGAATGTCCGGATATCTCGGGGTCTTCGGGGCCCCCGGGAGACCCCGCCGAGGAGGCCGGATGGCGCTCGGGGCACCGCTGGCGCTGGCGCCCGAGGGGCCTCGGAAGATCGCTTCTGTTGGCTCTTAGGCGCTGTTTTAAGGGCTTCTTTGTGTTTGGTACACTTCTCGATTTGTGCGTGTCATGCTGTTTAGGGTTTAGGGTTTCGAGTTTCGGGAGGGGCGGTGCTTCTTGTCAGATTTTGCCAGGGTTTCGGGAGGGTTTCTTCGGTTCTATATGAGGTTCCATCGGCTTCTACGCGTCTTTTGGGGTGTGATGTCGGGTCGTCAGGATCTTTGGGGCTTAGGGTTTCCGGGTAAGGAGGTAGCGAGTGTGCGCGTCTTCTGGGCTTCTATATACCCTGATTTTAGCTATTATATACCCACTATATAGCCCATTATAGGGTAGTTATAAGATATAGGCTTCCACCACGTTGCTCAACAAGCTTCAACCCTCAACCTCAAACCCTTCTCAAACCCTTGTGGACCCCCCTGAGAGTACCGAGACCTTCACAAGCCTCCATAGCACGTTTCAAAGACCCTAAACCCCAAAACGTAGAACCCGAAACCAGAAGCAACTTTGCGCTCTTGGTCCGAAAAGCCGCCGGCTCTACATCGATGCGGAGCATCTGTCGGCCGCGTCCTCGGTGCACGTGCAGGGCTTCTTTTCGGGTTTATGGTTTTTTTAGGCTTGAGGGGTTTTAGGGTTCAGGGTTTGGGGTTTAAGGGCTTCTTTTCGGGCTTACGGTTTTAGGCTTTAGGGTTCCAGGCTTTAGGGTTTGGGGTTGAAGGGCTTCTTTTAGGGCTTCGGGGTTTCAGGATGTATTTAAGGAAATCCCTGAAAAGGAAGGTTCTATAGGGTCCAGGTAGCGCTAAAATTAAAAGGTTGTAGGGCTTTGGAGTTTATGGTTCAGGGTTTATGGCGATAGGGGGCTAGAGCTTCAGGTTTTGAGGTTTGGGGGTTTGGGATTTCGGGATATGTTGGGATTCTAGGGTCTGTTGTTGACGAACGCACTTCGGGCTCGGAAGAGCGCGTGTGGCTGTGGGACTTCCTGGCAGAATGACACATCGCAACAATGTGATCCCAAAAATCCGAGATTCCAAGGGGAAAAGGAGGGGACCCTTAATAGGGACCCCTAGGTAGTATACTCTTAATGTAGCCATTATACACCCATTATATAGCCCATTATAGGGTAGGGGTCCCCATTCAGGGCCCCTCCTTCTCCCCTTTGAAAAAAGAGCCCCAGTCCCAAAGTCAAAAAACCTTTATGCCTACTTGGAGGTTCATGGGTAGTTAATAAGGGTTCCTTTAAGGGTCCCTTTAAAGGGATCTATAGGGATTCTACACGGGTATAGGGTTTAGGGCCTACTTGGAGGTTCATGCGTAGTCAGAAGTGGGGTTGTCAGTCCCCTTATCTGGGTTATAATTATGGTTACCCGACTTGTAACCCACTTATAACTGCCCATGAACCTCCAAGTAAAGCCCTAGCACTCCGAAACCCGAAAGCCCAAGAATAAGATTCTCTCAAACCTGAAAGCCCTCACACTCTGAAGCCAAAACTTGATATCCAAGGAACCCTTACAGCCAAGCCCCAAAATCCCCAAAGCCTCGAACTCCAAGCCTTACCCCACAACCCAAAATCTCCTCAAGCCCATCCAAACCCCCACACCCAAACCCTCCCCATCGGTAGTACCCAAACCTTACACTCCTATACTGACCCCTGGTATAACCCTATTCGTAGCCACCCTCGGAGGAACCCACAGCACCTAAACACGTGCCCGGCGGCGCTGGACAGGGGCGTCTGTGCCTGGCGCCGGCCTGGGCTATAAGAATGCGCTCTTTCTTTCGGGCGAAGGGTTTTCCGGGTTTGACATTTAAGGGATTAGAAGTTCGGGGTTTTAGGGTTTTGGGGGTTTTGGTGTTTTGCGGTTTGGGGTTCACAGTTTACGGAAAGCGAGTCATTGCGTCTTTGTAGAGGTTTGAGGGTACTGGGAATTGGAGAAGAACCCATGGACTGTCAAAGATGCTATATGCTATGGACGAACTCAGGCAAGGTTTATAGGAAGTTGAGAGATGTGCGGACTTACCTTGCATGGCCCGGGGATTGAGGGATCTCGGAGCAAGAGGTGTTTGAAGTTAGGAGCTCTGCCAAGGACTTCGGACCCAAAGCCCACAACACCCTGAATCTCCGAAGCTCCGGGTAGCCAGAAATCAAAAGAAGCGTGAAGAGCGAGGGAGAAACGGAGAGATAAAGACACAGACTCCGACATGTGCTGACAGAAAGCCTGAAAAGTTAGCACAGAGACGCGCATCGAAACGTCCCAGCCGCCTCTTCGCAAAGACCCTGAGGCAAGTCGAAGCTTCAGGGAGCTCACCTCAGCAAAACCCCCAAGAGCCCCATACGGTTGATGATATAAATCCTGCATTACCTTAAGGACCCTACACTATGGGAATTATGGGATATTCCTTATTATGGGTAATGCAGGATTTATATCATCAACCGTAGCACCCAACTCAGGAACTTTGCATCGGCGTTGGACATCATTAAGTTATGGTGAGCCCCACGTAGATCCCTGATAGCCGCGTTAGCATCGCTCTTTCTTTTTTGAGTTTTGTGGTCAGGGGTATGACAGCCCCAAGCCTCACACCCGGCCTTTCTGACACCCAAAACTTCAGCGAGGATCTTTTTATGAGCCATCGCGGCACTCTGCGCCGAACCCTGAACCGTTGCTCGTAAACCCCCCTTAGCCTAGCATCAGCCACAAACCGATGCCGAGCGGCGCTTCACAGACGGCTCCGCACTGGGGGCAGGCCTCAGGACCCCGGCTTTTCTTGCGGAACTCCAAGGATACACAAGCTTCAATCTTCAGGATGTAGGGTCTAAGGCTTGTGGCGTGGGTTTAGGGTTTAGGATTTGGATCTTAAGACGCGGAGTGCGGGAGTATGGTTCAGGGCATTTCTTCACGAACAGAACACGAGTAAAGCGTTAATTCTCTGCAGCAGACAACCTATAAAACCACATTACAATAGAACCTTATAAAAGCACTGAAACCCCGAATGAATGCCAGCGTAGGAGCCGCTTCAACCCGGTTTTCGGCGGGCTGCTGGGAGCTGCAGGGTCAGTGCCCTCTCCTGGGCTTTGGGTGCTGTGAACGCTGTTAGGGATCTTTGAACGGACCTTGAAGGATCGAAAGAGTTTCGGGCCTAGGTTTTTGAAAAGGCTCCGGAGGGTTGTTTCAGTGGCCACCATACGGATGATGGCAATTATACCAACACAAAGTTACTATGAGGGTATACAAAAAACCAAGATAAGGAATTAGTATAGAGGGGTTCTGTAAGGGATTGTGAGGTTTGAGGTAGTTTAGGGACTTAGCTGCGGCTTGAGGGTTTAGGGTACCACACTTTACACCCCATTGCAAATATATGTACGCTCTGGGATGCTGTGGGCATACGAGCACTGTCTTCTCGCAGCGCCATTTGCTCCGGACCCTAGTCGAAGAATCTGGGCGGTGGGGGCCGGAGTTTTTGCACTGGGATGAGATTGACAAACACTTTTGAAGAGAAGAAGTTTGAACGGTTGTTTGATCGTGGGGGGTTAGAAATCAACCGTGTGAGATGCAGCTCCCTTTTACTACCCTGGTACGGATTGCTGGTGCCATAAGCTGTTCCGCTCTGGCAGCAATAATGGTTGTTATGAGCCCTCAACCGTGGCCCCCCTAAAGCCCAAACACGGGCTCCCTAAGCACAAACGCAAGCGGCACCCTGGTAGCCCAAAACTCCAAG